CAGAAATTCAGTATAAGAACAAAATATTAAAACCTGTTAGAGACAAGAAACAGATAACCTAAAGAGGAAGGCCCATCAGAATAATGGCAGACTTCTCAACACAAACCATCAAGTCAAGAAGAGCATGGAGCGAAATATTCCAAGCCCTGAAAGAAAATAACCTCCATCCCAGATTGATATACCCTGCTAAACTGTCTCTAGAAATTAATGGAGAAACAAGATGCTTCCAAGACAAAGAGGAACTTGGGAAATTTGCAAACACCAATCCAAGTCTACAGAGAATACTGCAGGTCATTCTAGAGAGACAAGTACTAGGATTCCAGGAACAGTGGCAGAGAGGCCTCAGTGAATGGAGCAAAACACAGAATATAGAAGATAAGCAAACAACAGATGGCAAACAAGAGCATAACAGAAATGAGGCAGAGAAAATTTTACTCAAAACTGATATGATTGATAGTATCAAGTCTGAGAGTATAGGCAACTACACTGAAGATGACAAGACTTTACGATACACATTCTGGTTTCATAACTGCCGTTGTGTTTTTATTAATACTGTTATGTACTGATATATTTAATTATACTATGCCTGATGATATAGCCAGTTCTGTTGGAGATAACAAGAGACAACACAGGAACCATGGTAGAACTCTTTGTACAATGGTCTTATATGTTTTTTTCATTTCATGTGTTTATAGGAATATGTTTTGTTTTGCTATGCTTTGTTTTGTTTCTCCCTCTAATATAGAAAGGATAGAAATACATGTTAAGACTCATGCATGTGTAGAATCTATAAACAGTTTATGAGAACTGATCTTATGACACATGATGAAATGAACAGATACTTTAAAGATAAAGCACTAAAATACCCAGTGGTGGTCCTGGAGTGTCATAATGTGAAACCCAGCAATAGTATTATTCTTTGTTCAAAGTGATATTAGCCTGCTTGGGTTTATTCAATGTCAACATAATTGAAGATATGGATAACTGCATGTATGTTTAAGTGTATAGGATTGATAACCATATTTCTAAGTTTTTGTTGGATAGTTGAACAGAACTGATTGCAATCTCACTGTTTGAATCCCCACTTTATATATTCTACTTTAGTATCTTGAATAACTATTTGTAAGAAGACAATCTGTAATCATCAACTATTGATTTCTTACTGTTTATTTTTTCTTTGAAATTATGTATTATTTCTACCCATTTTCTGTTTGGTTTAGTCTTTCTTTAAATTAAATTTTTAAAAAAGGGACTACAGTACCCAGTGCTGATCACACAGTATCATGATGTGAAATTCAGCAATATTATTATTCTTTGTTCAGAATGATTTTAACCTGCTTTAGTTTGTTTAATCTAAACATAAATGAAGATATAGATAACTGTATGTATGTTTAAGTGTATAGGATTGACAACCATGTTACTAAGTTTTTGTTGGACAGTTGAACAGAACTGTTTGTGGTCTCGCTGTTTGAATTCCCACTTTACATATTCCACGCTTGTACCTTGAACAACTTTTTGTAAAACAACAATATGTAAACATCAACGTGTGATTTCTTACTGTTTATTTTTTTCTCTGAATGTATGTATTATTTCTAACTATTTTCTGTCTTGCTTAGTCTTTCTTTAAATAAAATTAAAAAAACACTTTTTTAATCCATTCCTTACTTGATGGATATTTCAGTTGTTTCCAAGATTTAGCAATTACAAACTGTGTTGCTATAAATACGGGTGCAAGGAAACTTTTATCAAGTCTTATGATGTGCTGAGTACTTTACATAATCTCTTGATAATACTTTAATTTTTAAATGGGCCACAGTTAGCTGAAGGTCACTAGGCTTGTAAGTGGTAGATTGGAACCACGTCAATATGACTCATCAAAGCCCATGATTTCCCCCTCCCAGGATTTGTTCATATGAAGGCCAGGTCTCCAAGGGTGGTTTCCAAAAAGTAGGCAGTATTTCTGGCAGGCACGCAGTGCTGGCTTACTCATGTGTTAATTTATGAAATACAGCCCATTTATGAGCTCTATCGTTTCTTTTGCTGCCCTTTATATATAATTTCCTCAGTGAAAATCTGGAGATAAAAGAGGGAATGCCCAACAGCTACAGATGAGCTTTAGAAGTTCTACAATTTGCAAAATAGTTTATATAATGAATCTTTTGAAAAGAAAATTCATACTTGCCTTCTTTATAATCACCCTAATTCATGTTCTGTGCAATTGTTACCATACTCCATTTTCTTAAGGGAATCTCCCTATGATGGAAAAGATGGGGTTTGATGTCTTTCTCCCCAACCTCTTCATTCTTTTCTGGAGAGTGAACCCAGATCTACCACTGACCTATGTGTATTCATAGTCTTTCTTTTTACTTTTGACTTTGAGACAGGGTCTGGCTAAATCCCTGAGCTGCCCAGGCTGGCTTGAACCTGCAAATCTCCTGCCTTGGGCCTCCCCTCCCCAAGTTCTAGGATTACAGTTCTAGGATTACATGTGTGTAAACATGCCCAGCTTGACATTTTGTTTTTATTTGCTTTTTTTTTTTCTAGTTTGGCTAAAATTCTCATCTTGTATTGGTTTGTCTAAAACCTTCAAGTACTCTAACAATAATAAGCACAACTATTACAAAATCACGGCTGTAGACTCTTCCAAGCCATAGCCTAAGACAGAGAAAGCAATTGGATGTGGCGGCAGGGCAATGCCCTTCAACGAGGTCCCTCTCTTCCTTCCTCCCAAACCACAGGGTGAGTTCAAACACTGCAGGATGGGGTGGCTCCTACTGTGTCTCCTATTTTCTGCTCTTCAGAATCTGTATCCTATGGTGGGTTAAAAACTCAGATGGTGAACAAATGCCTTGGGTTAAGTTCTTGGCTGTCTCTTCCCAGCTGGGTAAATTTTCCAGTTTGTGCCTCATTTAACTTGAACTCCCAATTTGTTGTGAAGATTAAACGACTCGGTTGCTTGTATAATATATTCAGAACCATCCTTGGTGACAGTATATGAAAGTACTACAAACACATGAGCTACTAATACTATTTCCTTCAGGCAGTTAACTACAAGGAATCCAAAAAGACAGAGTGAAAGAATTTGAAGCCACGGAGGAACCACTGCACCAAAAAAGCTCATGCCACCTCAATTATAAGTGGTAACCTGCTGAGACAGGAGGCTGGAGCCTCCTGGACTGGTGGCGTACGATGCTTACATTCTTAATGCCTTGGGCCAGGAGTCAATAGTGTCTGAAAAGCCGGAGTCATCTTACTCCATTTCATGCTGCTAGAATGAAAGTCTGGAGACTATGTAATTTGTAAAGATTGATTTCTTACCACTGTCGATGCTGAGAGGTCCCAGATCCAATAGTGCATGGAGAGGTTCTTCTTGTTCATCATCCCATGGTGGAAGGTGGAGACAGGAGATGAGAGGGAGAGAGATGAGGGTGGTGACTCATCCTTTTATCAAAAATCATTTCCTGTGATAACTAACCCATCCCCCAGGTAGTAACATGCATCCACTTATGAGGGCAAAGTCCTTGTGACCACCTCTTCAAGATCCTACCTCTGGACAACACCGAGTTGCGGAGTTACCTTCCAACACAGGAGCACAGGGAGAGAGGATACACTCAAACTGAAGCATATGCAAGGATGCTTTCATGAAGAGAGAGAGCCCATAACATAGATGAAAAGTCTTTTGTCCAGGCTGGGATAATGATTCTCCTTTCCATCCTAATCGCATTGGGAAGGCAAAAGATCCAAAAGCACCACAGTTCCAGCCCTTTCTAGTTGCTCTTTCATCCAACAATTTAAACCAGTAGTTGTGCACTTACTTTGTACCAAGCATTGCAAAGATGCAGAAGATCCCACGATCTAGTTGAAGAAATAAAGAGGATTCATGCTTTCCTTCAACAGTTATTTACCTATCATGCCATAAATTCCAAGCCCTGAACTGCTATAATGAACAGAGCAGACCACCGTCCTTATCCTTATGAAGCTGGCAATTCAGGGAAGAGAAGGACGATCTATGAAATTAGCGTTACACACAGTTCCGCACATGGTGAGAAGAGCAAAAGAGAAACACAAAGCAGGAAAGGCTGGAAACTGCAGTTAGGAGTCAGGGAAAAAGCTCAGTTTGGTCCTCACTGGACCCCCTTTTCCCCGCTTCTTCAAAAATACGTTCTCAGAGGGCAGAAATGTTATTTTCTCGTGTTGACTGCACAAGGAACCATCCATGGATACTGACCCAGAGAATATAATAATACTCAAGTCAGTCAAGCGGTGAGCAATTGTTGAGCACTAACTTCCCTCCTTCAGCACTTACTGAGCACCTAGCCTTTAAGGAACTCAGAGTACATTTACAAGGTCATAGCCACATCATCCCGCCGCATCTTGCGCCAGCACTATGGGTGCCCACGCGCCAAGGCGGCCAGGGACTTTCCCAAGTGACCTGTGGGCCAGTTGTTCACACCCTGCTGGTGGTGGCAGGAGTGGCTCCACGATGACGCACCGCCCGCAGCCCCTGCAGGTGGACAAGAGGCCGAACTCCAGCCTCTGGGCCCCCAAAGCCCAGCCGCAGGCCGTGGGCGACGCAGCTCTGAGGTGTCACGCAAAGTTAGGCAAGTTAGGCTCAAGCTCCCGCAGGCCTCCTGGGCTTCTCCCAGGACCTCCGGCTGCTGTAACCCAGTGCCTGCGGCCACGCCCTCTCCCGACCGACCACGCCCACTTCCGACCGACCACGCCTTCTAAAGACCACGCCCACTCCGACAGACCACGCCCCTAAAGAACACGCCCTCCCCACAGACCACGCCCCTCGAGGCCACGCCCACCCGCGGCTCCCGGGCGGGGACGGAGCACGGGTCGGGTGGACGCGCTCCCCGCTCCCTCAGTGTCGCGTGGACGCGGCGCGCGGCTCCACCGACCGGGCCGGCGCGGACCGGAGTGCGCGCCTGCGCGGGACCGAGTGGCGGCGCGCGGTAAGTGCGCGGCGGGCGCGAGCCGGGGCCTCGGCACCTGCTCCTCTCTCGTCAGCTCGGTGTCCCGGCCGGGCGGCCGAGTCCGCGCGGCGCTGGATCCCGGGACACCCTCCCTGTCTCCCTCCTGCGGTCGGCGGTCCGCCCGTCGCGCCCGGTCCCCGCGTTCCCGGCCCCAGTCTCCATCCCCCGCCTGGTTTCCCCCCACCCCCCAGCCCCTTGCGCTCCGGGTCGCAGCCGTTTCCTTCCCTTGGACGTCGCAACGCCGCCGGCGCCTCTTTCTCCCGACCCCTTCCTCCCTCCATCGCTGTCTTTCCCATGTCCCCCCGGGGTGAGGCGCGGGCTTTCCCGGCCTAGGGGCGAGCATATCCCGAGTGGGGTGCTCGGCCTGGAGCGATTCCCCGTCGCCTTGGCCAGGATGACAGTGGACTCAAGCTTGGGGTGGAGGCCACCCCTGCTTGGGTGTTCCCAGCCAGGCCTAGGATGGCTTTGTTCATCTCTCGTGGGGCTTGCTTTGGCCTTAACGGGGGATGTTTGAACCATTTGCGCCTGAGAGGCAAAGACCAGCTTTTAGGTTTTTGCTGTAGACGGAATAAACCAAGCAACTTCTCATTGAGAGCCTGAAGGAACAGTGTGTGTGTGTGTGTGTGTGTGTGTGTGTGTGTGTGTGTCTAGGAACCACTGGGGTTGAAGAAGCAGCTGAGTAAATGTAGAGTAAAATGAATTGTCTTCAAAATGCACCACCACCAAGGTCTTCCAATTGAAAAATGCCAAGAGAAATCGAGTCTGTTTCTCCTGCCAGTGTTGGGGATCCAACCCCAGGACTTCACACATGGTGAGCAAGGTTTCTACCACTGATCTACCCTCAGCCCACTTCTGTGTTCTTGGTCAGGCTTTGTCCTCTGTTACTCGCTTCATTTCTTCAAAGCATTTGCTACCTCCTCAGCCTCCATCATCAAGCTCTTATCTGCCTTGTGACCATCATTTGTTTCTCTGTTTCTCACACTGATTTTTATTTTAGGAATATGAGCTCCAGTACTGGATTGCACACGCCAGAAGATAGTTTCACAGCTCTGTTTTATTTAATACACTGCATTTCACTTTGTTATTTTGAAAACAAAATAATTCAAATCATGCTAATTTTAGCAATGAGACAGATACACAAATATAACAATGTCTCATTTCCCCAGAGTGAAGAAATAATAAGCATTTTCTGGCAATAATTTTTGTTGGTTTTCACCATAACACTGTAACAAGTTTACCCTTTTAAGCACACGTTGTTGACTTTACAGAATGAATTCTATGTAACCAAAATTAAAAAAGAAAAAGCTGAACAGGGATCAGCAGAGGAGATGGGTCAAGGGCACCAGCTCAGGAGTTGGGTGGCTCTCAGGTGGAATATTGGCTGATCACAAACTCTTTAGGTGACAGGGAAGGCCCTCCAGTCAGAGACCACCAAGAATTGGACAGGTTGAGTTCATTGCTCCTCTCGGCAGGGGTTACCTTGTAGGTGATTTAGGAGAGAGTATTTAGGGAAATGGGACCTTGCTCTGGAATAGATTGTCCAGAAGTAGAGGAAATTCCATTGTCTTGAACCTTCATATGTTAACAGTAGACAAAGGTCAGTGTGAGACTCAGCTGTGCTTGGTCAAGAAGCAGCAGTTGCTCATTAGTAGACTGGAAAGGACGTGGTATTTGATCATCTTTGAGGCTTGGACAATGTGCTTGGTCTGTTTAGACATGATGATACGGTGGCTTCATTTTTGTCTTTATTCACGGTGACAGACTGAGTGGCCTTGTGTGATGTTTGTGTCCTGTGATGTTCACATCCTCAAGAGCTGGCTCCCAGCAGTGTCAGAGCCCAGCTGAAAGTACCGGGCTGGTTCCCAGGCTACAGGGAGACTCCTTGTCTTTCTCTTGATTTTGGGCAAATTACTTGATATCTTTAAACTTGTTTCCACATGTGAACAAGACCTGCTTCTTAGGTTTGTTGTGAAAATTTAAATGAAGAAATGGAAGCATGAGCCTGATGTCTGGCACACAGAAAGAGCTTTTCTAGGGCATTTGAAGTTGAGATTCTTCCACAGAAGTGTTGAAGCCCAGGGTGGGAACTGTTCTGAAGATGTGCTTGGGATGCAACAAAGGATATAGTCCCTTCAGTGTTTCTGTGATTTTGAATTAGTTTTACCAGGCTACAGTGGTCATGGTGTCGCCTCTCAACTTCATTACTTTAGGGAAGTGGTGAGAAACCAATGGCAAACACGTTGTTTTTCCCTCTTTTTACAAAAATTTTATTTAAAGGAGGAAAAAAACCAAAACAGTATAAGGGTACAAGTAATACAGAATTTCAAAAAAAACAGTAAGAAATCACTAGTTAATAGATTACATATTATCATCTTAGAAATAGTTGTTCAAGTTATAGGATTAAAGCCTACAAAGTGGACATTCAAACAGTGAGACTGCAAGCAGTTGTGTTCAGTCCAACAAAAAACTTAGTAATATGGTCATCTATCTTAACACACCTAAACATACTTGCAGTTGTATCCTTTAGAGCACTTTCTTTTCCTCTCTTTTTTACAACAACATTTACACATTTTGGGTTTTATTACTCCCATAGTTCTTATATTGGAAGTCCCATTTGTTCCAGCTATCCCACTTCTAGGCATATTCCCAGAAGAACTGAAAGCATCATACCACGGTGATATATATGCATCCATGTTTATAGCAGCACAATTTGTAATTGCCAGATCTTGGAAACAACCTAAGTGTCCATCAGCTGAGGAATGGATAAAGAAGTTGTGGTATTTTTATACAATGGAGTACTACTCAGCTATAAATAGGGATCACATTGAGATATTTATAATAAATGGCCGCAGCTTGGGACCATACTCATAAGTGAAATAAATCAAACTCATGTGTATGAATACCGAATAGTTCCCCTATTGTAAGAAATGATTCAAATATATAAAAGTATGTGGTAATCATGATTCCCCATTATGTGGCTTTGAAGCCTTATAAAGTTTTCACTCATTCATTGGAACATTGTTTTTCTCTTAAGACAAAAGATGTTAGTGTATGAGTTGTTTTTTCTAAACTGAAACCTCAGTGTTCAGGTTAAATTGCAGTGTTGGCGCTTTGCAGTAAATAAGTGGGCTTAGGGTTACAGTTTGAGCACTTGTCTCTGAAAGGATCACTACCACTGTCTCTTAGGGGCTGCTTTTCGCTATTTTTTATTTTGAGATAGTTTTTTTTATGTTGTTCAAGCTGGTCTTAAACTTGCAACCTTCCTGCTAGGCGGCTCATTTTAAGATTCTTTGTTCTCCATGTGAGTAGCTCGGCTAGGCTGTATGTTTTGCTGGCTTTGAGTGTCCTCTTGCCACCTTGGTCTGTTCTCTCCAGGTCTCTTGCCTGGGAATCTGATTTAAGCTGTAGGATGCCTTGTCTCCTTCACTGTGGCTCTCTTACGTATAATCTGCTTTGAGCTGGGAAGCCAGATAGGCAAGTGAATAAGCACTTTTAACAGTTTTAGACAGGGTCTCACTATGTAGTCCAGGCTGCTTTGGAACTTGCTGATAGCTCAGACTGGTTTCAAACTGTTGATCCTCCTGCCTCAACTTCTAAAATGCTGGAATTGTAGGTGTACACCAATGTGCCTGGCTTGTTGGCTTAAAGCTTCAAATGAGAGCCTAAGACAGTGCAAACCTGTTGCACGTGTGCTGCAGCTGGCTCTTATTACTGGAAGCTCTTAAAGGTTCATCATCACTGGCCTAGGATCTGTGTGGCACCTGTGAAGTACTGCACATTTTTAGTGATGAGCTATTTGAGCTTGATCTTATCTGTGGCCATTTTTGTCTACTTTCAAATGGGGGAGCATTGTAGAAATTTGAATCCAAGTCTGACTTTCAGTTAGCTGAAATATTACTATGTGTGTATCAGGCAGTGAGGATTCGAGATCCTTCATTCATTCGGACCTTCACATGTTATTTAATCTTCTTGGATAGATGAGTTCTTTACATGTTTGAGAATGCTGCTCCTGCCTGCTGACATCACAGGGAAACTCTGTTGCATTAAATTTCCAGTGTGTATTTTGGCTGATGTCTTTATTACATCAAAGTTCCTAGGAGCAAAGGAAAATTAGTAACAATAAAAAATGAACCGAGGACACCATTTTTTTTTTTTTTTTAGATAGGCTTTCATCATGTAGCCCAAGCTGGCCTTGATCTCATGGTGATCCTCCTCCCTGGCCTCATAAGTGCTACAATTATATGTGTGTGACACCATGCCTAGCCACCAATGTTTTTTTTTAAACGGAAATATAAAAAAGTCTTTAAACAATATGACAGATGCTTGATTTCATTTGTATTAACATTCTTCTACACCAGTATTCCACTTCTCATCTAACAGGCTGGCAAAGATCCGAAGTTTGATAATGCATGGTTACTAAGACTGGTACTTGATATTTTACTGGGGATACTGCAGAAAGGTACCACTCTTAGCAGTGGTGGTGAACCTTTAGAGATGAGTCTCCAAACTGTAACCCAAATCCCACTTATTATCACAAAGTGCCAACCCTGCAATTAAACCTGAATACTGAGATTTTGGTTTAGGAAAAAAACAACTCATACATTAACATCTTTTGTCTTGAAAGAAAAACACAATAACACGTGCACCATAGGTTTGCTTATAGATGCATTTACCCACCTATCTAGCAATCCTCTCATAGGAATCTGCTCTCTGGACATACCTGCTCATGCTCGGAGATGACCTACATCTGAGGATACTTCGTAGTATTTTTGTAAATAACAAAAATGTAGAAATAATCAAGGGCTGAGCAATTAAGACGAATTTAGAAACTAATGATGTATCCACTGGGGGGAGCACTATGTAGCTCTGTAAAGAAGACTATAGGAATATGGAGGGATCCTTTAGAACATTTTATTAGGTAACAAAGGCCAAGGTGCAGAACAGTATTACACGCCTGTTAACTTGCATTTGTATAGAACAACATGAAGGTAACATAATTGAAAGGAAAAGGAATAAATGGGAAGGCAGGCAGGGCATGGGCAGGAATGGGATTTTCCAGTAGATATCCTTCTACATCGTTTAGATATTTGTACTCTGTAAGTGTATCATGTATTCATTCATAATAACGAAAGAGAAACCTTTAGCTTCAACTTCACTATGAGAATATTTTCAGAGTCTTATGATTGAATAAGTCTGATTCTGATAAAACCTACAAAGCAATAGCTGCTACTAGTAATTCTCCCTTAAGCATCCTACCCTGTCAGGAAGGCAAGTTGACTGTGTTTTGATGTTAGATGAAAAAAAAACCTTTAAAAATTAATTCAAGAGTCTCTTTTTCACCCTCTACTCCCTCTGGGATGCCTGCTATCATTACCAGTCACTCTTTGGCACCCTTGGTGAATGGGTTTTGGTTTGTTTTGCTTTTTAACTGCAAACCTCGTTTGATCTGAAGGAAAGCCAGCTATTCCCTTTCAGCTCGTCCCAGAAAAGAATGTAGAAACCATAAAATGGATGATCCTAGAAACAAGACTTGATTGAAGCAGACTGTGCTGTGGCTCTTGGACCTGCAGGGTAAATTCCCACAGGTCCCTGGGAGACTTTTGTTACAAGTTCTTTCCTTCTGTTTGGAAAAATAACTCCTGTGCCTTGTCCCTGGGGCAAGCCCAGCATTACTGTCCTGCTGTTCTCATCGGTCCGCTTCTGCTGGATCCCTCTTTGGTGCTGGCTTCTCCATCTGTCTACCTCCCTGACACCTGAACTGCTGGCGGACATCCTAGAGCTCTCCTCTGTCCTCACGCCTCACCCCATCAGACTTCACCCCTCCTAGGGGTTCCACAGGCAGAGTTTAGAGCATTTCTTGATATTTTCTAATTGTTTTCTCTCCCTCTCATGTCTTGCTTTATTTCTAAAAAGTCTCACTAACTCACCAGTCTGGCCACTCTGCCCTCTAGTCCTGTCCTCCTGTGTTCTGCCACCTTGACTCCCTGCAGGGGACCCACGGGCTTTTGTCCAGAGGTCTCCTTAGCCCCGTCCCTGGCCCTTCCTGACCATGCAACCCTGTGCTCCAATGCAAGAGTGAACCCCGAAGCTTGACAGTCCATTCCAGGGCAGTCAAGGAAGTGGTATTTGAGTACTGCAATCCAGCAGTGTTCGTGGGGCCAGCAGGAGTTCGCCAACAGCCCATCCTGCCTTCCTTGTCTTCTCCGTCCCTCCACCACCTCCTGTAGGCTCTGCTTCTGCAGTGGTGCCCACCTGCAAAGCCTGCCTTGCTGCTGTGGTTTCTTCATGTGGCTTACAGATGTGTCCTGGAAACCACTGGGAACCACTGGGAAGCATGCGAGCTGCTGTGAGGCTGTGCTGCTCTCCAGTTGGACCAACGTGCCTTTCTCCTGGTCCATTCCACAGCAATCTAGGCCAATAGCTAGCACAAAACCTATTTCTTATTTAGGTCACCAAACTAGTAGCTCATTAAGGAAAAAATTAATATTTAAAAAAATATTATAAGTGCTTCACCACAGTACCTGAGTATGTATAGTATGTGCTCAAGAATAGTTAATAAATGATTCCACTAATGATTTGGTAAATGAATGCGTGTACCAGTGAATTAAATGGGAGATTCTTACACTCAATGTTCTGAGAGATGAATTAGTGATAAGAACTTGCATGTATTCACTGACTCTTCTTTGCTGTTCATGGTTTCTGAAAGGAATTTCTTTACCATTTTAGACTCTCTTAAATGTTCCATCTTACTGTTAAGATCAGTAAGGTGCAGTCAGGTAGCAACTGTTTCATAATCTAAGAAAAGGTACTTTATAGAAGAGTTATGTAAAGAGAATATTTTCTGACCTCCTAAGAGAGAGTCATGTTGAAGAAAGAGAATTAAACTAGTTGAGGTCTGAGATTACTCTCCCTCTTAACTTCCATGAAAGCTGTGTGACCAGGTAAGCATGCTAGCACCAGCGACCAAAGACAAGTATAAATAGCTCTTCTTCACGAGACATTTTAACTTGACCATGGAGAGTTATTTTAAAAAGTTATTTCAGTTTGTACTTTTGTGTAATCATTTTTATTATATATATGTGGTAATACAGGTATATGTGCAAGCATGTTTTGGATGTGTGCAGTTTGTGTATTATGAATTGTTTATGACTTGACTCATGTTTCTGCTGGAGTGTTCTAAAACTTAGCTGTAAAAGATTTTTTTAAAAAGAGTTCTCGCTCTTTGTGAAAAACATCAAAAGTATTTTCTCAGGTTGCCATTTGTCTTTCTAAAGCCTTTCTGACCCTGCAGTTGTACAAATATTTCTTTGGATTCTTTTTTTTACTTTTATGGTTTCATTTTTCCTCAGAGAAACCTCTAATCCATTGAGAACATTGCTCTTGTGTATGGTTTCCAGATGGTTTGCCTGTTTTTCCAATGCCGTTTATTAGTCTTTATTTCTTCTACCGACTGGAGTACCTTTGAACCTTTCAGTGTGTCTCTTTTCCCTTCGGCTGAAGTGTGACTGTGCCTTTACTTCTGGGTTAAGAAGTAATCAATTACCAGTTACTTTTCATTTCAGAGTAGGAAATGTCACACAGTGTAGAGAAAAGACTCCTTTGACCTTTCAGAGAACTGTGTTGTCCCTTGATATCTGCTGAAGGATCGGTTCTCGAATACACCTTCCCACTGCACAAATTCCAAACTCCTTGGATGTGCAAGTCCATTACATAGTGATGTAACATTTGCATATAATCCACGCACATCTTCAAATGTGTGTACTTTAAATCACTTGTCAATTACTTACCATGTAATATAATACCTAATATAACACAAATGCTCTGTAATCAATTGTAACACTGTATCATCTAGGAATAATGACAAGAAAAAGTCTAGGGATTTAGTACAGATGGAACTTCTTTTTCAAACAGTTTCAGTCTGTGACCAGTTGAATCTGTGACAATCAGTATGTTGTTCAACAAATATCCTTAGCTCTCTACCTTCCAGATGCTTGGTAAGATTGTACCACTGGGCCCTCATGGTTGGCGAAAGCCCCATGAATTGACCTGGTAAGTTGTAAGTGAATATGCCATGGATCAGTGTTGGGCCATTGCATTTAATTGCAGACCTTTATTTGCTATTGTACAGTGACTGAATTATTCAACATGGTGGCTTTCTCTATGGGCCAAATTTGTGAATGACTACAATATACATAGTCACACTTTAGTAAGAAATGCATCTTTATTTTTGTCAATCATTAAGATTCAGCATAACCCAATTATTCTGAGGGATGCACATATTCTTTTCTACTATCTCATTTAATTTCATCAGTTGAATTCAAATTAGGAGGTTTCTAGAGAGAAGATACTCTTTCATGTGAACTGTTGAGATTAAAGAGAAATGGTAATTTTAGAGATAAAGATTCAAAAGAAAAACTTCATATTTGATTTTAGGATAACTTAATTTTTTCAGGTAATCAGGAGCCTCAAAATGTTTGCCAAAGCAACAAGGAATTTTCTTAAAGAAGTTGATGCTGGTGGTAACCTGATTTCAGTGTCAAACTTGAACGACTCTGATAAGTTACAACTTCTAAGTCTGGTTACCAAAAAGAAGAGATATTGGTGCTGGCAAAGACCCAAGTACCAGTTTTTGTCTGTCACCCTTGGAGATGTACTCACAGAGGACCAGCTTCTGAGTCCAGGTATGTTTCCTTGTGTATATTCTGTAATGAGTTCTGGAACAGAAAGTGGATCTTCTAGATATGTGTTGCCTAGAATCAAGGTGATAGGTTTTAATGAATTCTTTGTCTTTTCATGCTGTCTCTAAAATATGTCTTTTTAAAAAAAATGAAGAAACTTCTGTATGCTTGACGTGAAAAGTTACAGCTTCATCTTTTGAAAGTAGTCTTTCTGTCTTGGTATAAAAGTCAGTATTGCTAGGCATGATGGTGTATATATGTAATCCCAGCCACTCAGGGGGCTGAGGCAGGAAGATTGAAAGTTGAATGCAAATCTGGATTATTTAAGGAGACTCGTCTCAAAATAAAGAAATAAAAAAGGTTTAAGATGTAGGTCAGAGCTCTATGGGTTTGATCCCTGGTATAGGGGAGAAATGCCCCTGGTAGATCCTTAGCATAAGTGGAAATGGTTGCTGTGCCCAGAATTTGGTTCCCTGTTGAGATGGATGATGCCATCAGTATGAAGAGGGTGTGAGCAGTGTTATTACTCACTCAGTTGTGCTTTCTGGAGAATGCAAAGCAGGCTTCCAAGCTGTTGTAAAATGGCTACAGCGACAGGGATTAGCGGATAGGCACAGCTGTCTGTTACTGTGATTATCCCTGTCTCGACTGGGTTAAAGTTTGTGTCGTTTAACTTTCACTGGCATGAGTAGTGGGAGCATCCAGGCTTTCTTTTCAGTTTGTCCTAATGTGAAGTGAAAAAGGAAGATGAAGTGGGAGGCTTGAAAGCTGGCAGCAGACAGACTGCAAAAATGGATTGGGCATAGATGGACTGCAGTGCAGCCGTGCGCTGCATAGCATTCCAGACAGGGATGGGCTGCAAAGGTGGAGGTTTCTTAAGATGATGTTGCCTAGTGATGCTGCTGTAGCTTGTGAAAGTGTAGTCTATGATTTTGGTACAGTGATGAAATCGCCTAATGAAGTGTTACCTCTCCGTGTTTCTATAAAATACAGTAAGAGATGAAAAAGAACAATAATCAACAAAATCTGCCAGCACTTATTAATTTTTATTAACACTTGGGTTATAGTCTTTATTTCTTTAACATTTATTTATTTATTTATTTAGAGATAGGGTCTTACTATGTAGCCCAAGCAGGTCTTGAACTCATGGAGATCCTCCTGCTTCAACCTCCCAAGTTCTGGGATTATAGCCATGCATCACTATGTCTGGCTTTCCGCTTAAATTAAAAAAAAAACTTTATTTTAGATAAGGGGTCTCACTATGTTGCCTAGGCTGTTCTTGAACTCCTGGGTTCAATCAGTTTTCTTACTTTAGCCTCCTGAGTGCTGGGATTATAGGAATTTGCTACTAATAATGCTTGGCTTTTGCTTTTAATTTAAAAAAAAAAATAGAATTAGGGAGCTGGGGATTTAGCTCAGTGACATAAGTGCCTGCCTGGCAAGTGCTAGGTCATGAGTTCAATTCCCGGTACCAAAATAAAATAAAATAAAATCAGAAACACTACAATTTGAATATACTGTTTAATAAGGCTGCAAAGAATAGTTTGGTGGGGCATGGTTTTTTTTTTTTTTTTTTTTTGTAACAATTGCATTAACATGTATTCTTAGAAATAGAGTGTCTGGGCTAGAGATTGGAAACTGCAGACTTGGTAGTCATTATCATTTGACTTTCCTGAATGTGGTGATTTGTCAAAGTATCATCATTTCTTTATTGGATGAAATGTCTGAGTCTTCTTTTGGCTCTAAAGTTCCTTAATTTTGTGATTCCATCTCTATTAAGGGAGAAAAGAGATAGAAGACATCATTCGACTCTCTAAATAGTCTCCAAATTTTCTTCTGAACAAGCCAGTTGTCATTTCAATGAGCTTTTCAGGGCTGCGAAACAATGGGAGAATGAATCAATATGAAATTTATTTCAACTTATTCCCAGACTTATGTATATCCTGGCAGAACTCCTGCTGAATGGTAAAATAACTAAATATGAGGAAAAAAGGAGAAAAATTCACAAACTAGACCAGGGCCCCTGAGTAATAGAATTGCTCTGCTTTGTGATGTTGAAATGCTTCTTTCTTGAAAAATCATGCAGACTCCCTTGCAGTTACTGAAGATAAAGGGTGACATTTGAGAGTTCACAAAGTCTTGATTGTCCCTAAGGAGTATGACTGAAATTTGGGGACAGAGTTTCCACAGTGGTAATAAGTCTGACTGAGACCAGAACTAAATTCTGAAGACAGAATTTTTGTAGAGCTTTGCCAAACCTAGAGTTATGCTGTTTGTCAGAAAAGGGTGCAGCTATGGGCCAAGCACAGTAGATTAAACACTTGCTGTATACCAAACTCTGTACCCGGCAACACATCAGCTAGGTAGGTGTCATTAACAATCTCTAATGACATAGGAAAGTCTGACATTCAGGAGATGAATGCTATCTGGGGTCTCGCATTTAGTGATAGCAGAGTAGGGAAATAATCATAAGCTCTTAATATCCATTCCATCCTAATTCCCAAAGCATCTCTTAGTGTTTGCTACTAGATACTAGCTAGAAAAGGCTTTTTCTCAGCTTCCTATTCTTGGTATGGTTAAGTGGGTGAAGGGAATGTAAATTGCAGAGATAATGAGATTGCTCATTAATGGTGGCCAAAAAATGGGTTTTCTTGACTGGAGTCAAAGAAATCCAGCTGTTGGGGCATTGCATAGATGGCAAGGTTTCCAGATGCTGGTGCGTTTTCAGTCCTTTGACAAGGGAAACTAGAAGTTGAGGTGAGCCTTGGGCCAGGGTCAAAGGAAAGGCAATCGTGAAGTTTCTAGCAGGAGTGTTTGTGAAATGTGGTCTCTCTATGTTGCCCAGGTGTGTCTAAACTTACAGGCTCAAGCGATCCTCCTGCCTCAGCATTCCAAGCACTAGGACCACAGGCTTGTACTGCCAATAAAAGCAATGGACAGAGGCCTGGCAGTCTGGGGCATGACTGTGCTCAATATTTGGATGGGCTGCGTGTTCCATTTTTTTTCTCTGTTTTCATTTGGCTGTCAGCCATGTGTAACCCAAGGCTCTGTAGGAGTGGGAAGCTGGGTGACCAAGGACACAAAGTGGCTGTATTATCTTCAGGCTCCTGTGCTCCTTTCATTCCAGTGGTCGTGGAGTCAGACTTCGTGAAGTATGAGGGCAAGTTTGAAAACCACGTGAGTGGGAGCCTTGAGACCGCTCTGGGCAAGGTCAAGCTGAACGTGGGAGGCAAAGGCCTGGTGGAGAGCCAGTCTTCCTTCGGAACTCTGAGAAAGCAGGAGGTGGACTTGCAGCAGCTCGTCAGAGACTCTCTGGAGAGGTAACAGGAATTCTGTTTGGTATTTTGGGTTTTGACACATCGCATGTTTAAAGGTCCTCCCCTTGGGCCTTTGTTAAAAGGGTGGCAGATGCAACCTTTGCCAGCCAACAAATGTTTATTAAATGCCAGTTGTGCTGAACACATTCTGTATTTTAGAATTCCTTGACCGTTCATAGCCTCAAGGTGGAACACTGTGAAAGGATGTTATTTCAGGAAAATTCCCGCTTCCTTCAATATATGACTTATAAAATGCCACAGTGGAAAGGCTCAGTCTTGCATTTCTGAATCTTAGTATCAGAAGCAAGAAAATCACAACCCCTCTCTGGCTGTTCATACTTTCTGATAAAGAAGATAGCAATTGTGGGACTTCAGAGGAAGAGCTATTTTTCAACTTTGATATTGTAAAGAGAGCTCCACACTGACTTATTTGGCTTTCAGTAAGTACATTTGATTCCAGGATAGCTCATCACTATTTTTAATTTATGTTTATTCAACAGTCAATAAGTAGTTTTACTGAGTACGTACTATACACCAGGTGATATTCTATGTCCTTAGGGTGCTGCAGGAGACATAGTGCTGTGTACATCCTAGTGGGGAAAGACTCAAAATATGTAACTAAATATGTGCTGTAGGTTGATGGGCTCAGTGGCGTGGAGGGAGATGTAAGGAGAGGGAAGGAGGTGCTGGGGTGGGACTGTGATTGTTCACAGCAGGTTCAGGGAAGGCATTCTGAGAAGCTGGCATTGGACAGGACCCAAAAGGAGGTGGGAATGAGCTTAGGGCACTGGGCAGGGTGGTTGGGCGTGTTGGCCAGGGTGTCTGGAGTCACCTAAGTCAGGGAAGGATGGGGAGGCTGCAGAGTAACAAGTCCAGCAGGACCTCGAAGACCATTGGAAAGACTATCACTCTTACGGGAGTGAGATGGGAAGTCCTGAGGAAATGCTGAGCAGACAAGTGACATTTTAGAAGGATCATTCTGGCCACTGGGTTGAGAAGAAACTGAATGGACAGAAGCCAGGAGCCCAGCTGAGAAGTTATTGCAGTAATCCACGTGAGATGGTATTTCACTTTACACAGTACCATATGTACATTTTCATGTGTTATTTTATCACTTTTTTTCCTTTTAGATAGAAAGTTCCTATCCAAATGAATTAAGCAAAAAGTCAGTCATATGGTAGCTTATCTCCTCTTTTGCAATATTTTAATAAAATATAAAATATGAACTCTGTGGTCATTAAACAAAATTATGTTTAAAAATTTATAAAATACCATAAGACACACTTATCATGAATTTGGTGGGTGGATTTTGTACAGACTGGGCAACTGTAGTTTTTAACAGTTACATACCTCTCAAGTAACTGCCCAGGGTTTATGGCATTGAAAGACTATGGTCATATATGTGTGGCTTCCTGGTTTCTTCTGGGACTCTCACACAATGGAGTTAGGAGGTCTCCACGAGTTCCCTTTCTGACCAGGGAACTTTAAGTGCTCTTTGGGGGCATCAAGAGGAAAGCAGTCACCCATACCTACGCTGTTAGGATCTTTGTGTCCCTTGATTGCTTTTCTTTGCTAGAGAAGCATTCCCTTCTGTCCTACAGTGCTAGCACACATTAGAAAAGTACTGGTCTATCTGATTTAAAATGTAATTGCAAAATCTGGTGACACTTTCCAGTGGGGGAGGAGAATGGACAAGTAGGGGAGCCTGGGATTTCTTCTTACTCAGTCTTTGAAAACTGTTTTGAAGTCATATTATTTCTGTTTCAAGAACCACATTTGGGCAGGGCTCTATAATCACATTTTCTGACACAGGTTTTAAAACACTCTTCATGATCCAGGTGTAGCCCTTGCCAACTTGGAAGCATAGGGGGAGGGGCCCATGAGGGGCGATGGGAGAGAGATTCTGGAGAGAAAGAATGTTAAGCCAGCAGCTATAACGGCGGGTGGGGGTGGGAAAGGAGCGTGTGTGGGGCACCTACTGTGTGCCAGGTAATTTGTGTGCAACATCTGGTTTCCTCTGCACAGCTGTATTCTACTTGTGAGGGAGCTAAGGCCCAGGAAGGCGGAATAACTTGCTTCTAGGCACAGAGCTCAGTTGCTAGAGCTGGGATTCCACCCTAGATCTCCTGACTCCAAAGTTCCGGTTCTTTCCTGTAAATCATGCTTGAAGTGACTGTGAAGAAAGGAAATTGGCAGACGAAGCATACGTAAGATGACAGCACAGAAGGCTGTGTAAAGCGGCAGAGATGCGCATCTGAGTCCCTTGCCAGGATGTCCGTGTGAAGAGCAGACTCTGTCCTGTTCTGAGCAGGAACATGGGAATGATGAGGCCTGCTCACGCTGCTGCCAGACCCAGGGATGACATCACCTTGGAAGACTTCAGGAATCCTGTTAACTGCAAAGGGGAGGCAGGGTTTGGTTGGCTGGGGATGCAGCCCCAGGAGCGAGCTGTTGTGAGCTGGGTGTGTAGCTCGGCAGGAAAACATGTGTTTGGAATGCACCCAAAGCTCTGGCTTCATCCCCCAGGTCCGAAACAAAAGCACAGAAGTGCCTGAGGTGCCTGAGGTGAATTATCTGTTCCTGGTGCTATTGCTGAAAGCTAAAAGCGAGCTGCAGGGAAAGGGAGGCAAAGAATGACTGTCGATCCTGGGATGGGCGTCAGGAAAGCTAGCATTCTTTTGACTTCATGCCAGAGTAATAAATTCTTACCCATCATCTGCCCAACTTCGGACTCCTGTAACATCATCAGGATTGATAAGGGCTGTTGTTACCCATGTTCTCTGTAGAGTTGTAGTCAGTCATTTTTATTTCAGGTCATTTAGATATGTTATCCGTATCCAAGTTATTTAAGCCTTCAGAGATCTGATTATTAGGGCTGGGGGTGTAGCTCAGTGATAGAGCACTTGACTACATGCATGAGGTCCTAGATGTGATCCACAGCACTGAAAAAAAAACCAAGAAAAAAGAAAATGAAATGAAATAAACCCTCAGTATTGACTTATTGTCTGTAAAAAGTGTACACATTTCAAAATAAACTTCATCTATCCTTGAAAAAACAAGCATGTGGATATATAACATTTATCTAGCATTTTTGGGCACAGAACTTTTTCACTAGAATTAACCTTCCAGAGACCTTAATGGATTCCTTTGAAGGAGCTCTCTGGGTTTTAAGCATTCTTCATGGAAACCACTCTAAGATACCTTAAATACTTTCTTTTTTTAAAAGAAAAAAGATAAGACATTTACTGAGACTTCTCATAATGACTCAGATTCATGCTTTGGTCTTAACATCTAGTACTATTTTACAGAATATTTTCTACCTTTTCGTCTGTCATCAGATGCCTTTAGTCACTACCTTAAGTATAACAGCCACTGCTAGGTGTGGTGGTACATGCCTGTAATCCCAGCACTTGGGAGGCTAAGGCAGGAGGATTGCCATGCATTGGAGGCCAGCTTGGCTACCCAGCGAGACTATCTCAAAACAAAACAAAACGAACCCATCCACAGATCCCAGTTTTGTGTTTGGTTCATTCCCTCTAATCCCTGGGTCCTGGGGAAATTTATTACTGGAGAATAACTTACATGGACTTGGTAAATCATGCCAGCCTTTGGCCTCAGTTTCTCTGGCTGTAGGTGAGACAGTGGACTTCTGGCTACCTCAATGTGAGTAGACCTCGAGTACACATATCCACAACTTGCCCTTGCGTTCTGGGCCTTGGTTCCAGCCATTTTCCAGTCATGGCACTGTTGTTGTGTAGTTCATCTGTCAAAAGCACTCGAGGTGCTGAACTCACAGCAATCCCGTTTCAGCCTCCTGAGTGCTGGAGTTACAGATGTGTGCCATCATACCTTACCTTGGGATCTTGTCATTGGCAGGGCTTGCTCATTTTCCCAACAACTTTGCCATGCCCTCTTTCCTGTATCAGCACCATTTTGGGCTCTCCCGGCTCCTGGGTAATTGAAGTGGGTATTACTATAAATGCCCATCCCACTTTGATTGATTTTCACAAAGAGGAGCTTTTTTTTTTGGAGGGGGAGGAATTGGTGGGGACTGGAAATAGAACTCAGAACCTTGCACTGGCCTGGCAGGCCCTGGGCCCCTGAGCTATATCCCCAGCCCTTGTCACATTATAAAGCACTTGGGTAAAGCAGGTTAGATTCATCTACCTATACTGTATATGGTAATTAGAAGTTTGATTTTTCATACAGAATTCCAAATTAGTTATGTCAAACTGATACATAATGAAAGAAATGGTGTGGCAATAATAAATCCTCATAATTATTTAGAATATTTTTAAATGACACTCAAATGTCCTATTTAGATATCCCCAACTTCTATAAATTTTATGTATATATTAGAAATAAAAAAGTTTAAAACTCTGAGGCTGAAGTTTGACCATCTTGCAGCTGATCTACACATTCCTCCAGCCACCAGCAGCAGAAGAGCATAAGGAAGCACTGGCAGCCTAAACATGTGTGTGGTCATATATATTTTAAAATGCTGTTCTTTGGATGGCTATTTGACCTTTTAAAAAGCACTGCAGCAGTTCTTATGAGCACTGTTTCAATCGGTCAATAGCTCTTAATTTTATTTGGGAGATTTTCAAGGGGAGGGATGTGAGGGCTTTAGTCCAGGTTGGTGCTGAACTTGTGATCCTCCTGCCTCAGCCTCCTGAGCGGTGGCATGTCCAACAACAATGAAATAAAAACATGCAAACAGCAATGTTTGAACTGGTCTTCTTTGTACTGAATTAGTTTCCCTGTGATCAGCAGAGCATTAGAAAATCATCTCATTCAGCGTGTGCTCTGTCAGTGTTGGCCTCGTTACTTTTAGAGAGAGTTTGTTCCTGACAGTATGAAAACCCTGACTGTGGGCTCAGGGGGCGACTTTCCTGCATCTCCTCCCTTTCTGTATCCTCTTTTTGCCTTGTTTTTTCCGTGGTGGCAGCCTATGGGCCGGCAGGGACACCTGGAGTTGTGCTGTGGGTGGGTTGGAAGTGTCC